ATAATAGAACTTATATAATCTTCAGGGTCATTATAAGAATTACTAGTATTTAGCAATCTGCATATTTACATTAAGAAAGAAATTCGACGTGAAACTAATGCCGAGAAGGTACAGCAAATAGTTGGATCCGCAAATATATTTGAATTTTCTTGACATACATTCCTATACACTAATGAAATAGTGACCGAGTTTTATTATCTTTATTTAACCCTATATGACCACGGCTGAAAGAGTCACGAAGAGTCACGAAGTCCCCACATCAGAAATAAGGTGATTTTTTTTTAATTCTTTGCTGTTTACGATAATAACAAATATATTTGTGCTTGTCAATATTCTAATTCTTTTATAAATTTTCATGAAAAAAAGTGTTTTTTCTTTTTATATTTTTTTATTTCTCTCTATTTGGTTTGTATCAGCTTTTAAAAGAACTCACTCATCATGGTGTCAAAAAACTTTGTAGCAACCGTTAATGATGCAATGCCGCTAAAATCATAGACGTATTCATTTTACCAATATTTATTTAAATTAACATGTAATATATACAGGCAGTTATGATATCATATTGCGAAACTTCTTAAATTTGTACTTAGACTTTTCCTAGGTTATTAAGTCCTTTGGTATTCTCCAACTATAAAGCTTATTAAAAGGACATTCATAAAAAGCTGAAACATACATAATTTTTTATTTTAACATAATTTCGAATTTTTCATATTTCTTAATATAATACTGAGCCTGTCTTTTACAAGATTCTCAGTGTGAATACGAAACTTATCTTTCAAATGTTGATAAAAATCCTCTTTAGTATATGTTTCACACCTCGAACAAAGGATTTTTTCCGATACTAAACCACTTGGTACACTCCAAGCCCAAGATTCATGGTTGGGCGTCTATGCAATTGTGTGCGTAATCATTAAAACTTTCATTAATGATGATAAGTTATAATCAAGGACACGGTGTCAAGGTCATAAAATGAATGCTGGACCCGAGATGCTAAATTGTTATTTAAATCTACAGAATCAGTCCCTCCCCCAAACAAAAACCCCCACTCTTTCCTTCTCTCTGTTTCTTTTTGACTTATTAAACTACTTTTGCCAAAATAACAACACACTGAAATTTAAGCAAGTTACATGTAATTGGTTGACTATTCAGGATTATATATGCTGTGTCACTGATACTTCTGCCAGAATTCCTAATTTTTTTTATTGATATGTGCTTGAGTTGAGTCTTTATAGATTTTTATTTTATTTTTATTTTTAACAGCTCATCGTTTATATTTACAATCAATTTATTATTATTTGCAATTGTCTTTTTGTAACATTTCTTTTCCTCGAAATACAGTTAATGTTTATTTAACTAGTATACAACTATACTGCTTAATTCCCTTCAAGGACTCTACCCAGTTAACAATAACTTAAACATGTTAGTTCTTTTTTACTGCTTATATTTTTTTCAAAGAAAGTTAAATATTTTTAGATGTTAGGTGCTTAATGAAAAAATCGGTGATCAAATTCAAAAGTCGTTCAAAATATTAAATGCACACGTTTCTCTTAAAATATTTCTGTTAAAAAATTCTGTGGGACATTTTGTTACTATGTTTTGTTAATATTCCGTACTACCAATTATGTAGAAAATGTAATATGTATCTTTATAGTGTTTATTTTAAAATTATAATTCCTTTTTCTTAGATTTATTTACAATTACTTTTTTTTATTTCTACAAAATAGTTCTGAGATGTTTCATATCCTTCAACTATTTTTTTATTAGCTTATTTGACACTAAATTCGCTTTTTTACAAAACAGCAAAACGCATTATCTCACACACAAACTGAACTCCTAATTTAAAGTCCAACAAAACAACCCATCCCATTGTTAATAAAGAAATTACAATGTGGGTAACAAACCTTTTTTTTTATTTTCTCAGATGTTGGCAGTTGTTGTATCCGTTCTTTTTATAAAAGGTGAGAAACTAGCTATTTCGTTCAAAATGTTTTAAAGGCGTTTGCAAAGGTCTTTTAGCATTTTTCGTAATATATATATATATATATATATATATATATATATATATATATATATATATATATATATATATATATATATATATATATATATATATATATATATATATATATAAACGTTTAACTGAAAGCCGATTTTACTGCAGAATATAAGATTTATTTGTAATGAATGTAAGTGTTTCACGCTAACATTTATCATTACAGGCATTACGTCACAGTCGGTATGTCAAGATGGCTGTTGTGAGTCTGATCCCAGATGTACAAATTTCGATTTCATAATGACTGCCTGCCTCGATTCAGAGCAATCAAAAATCTGCCCGGTGACGTGTAAAACCTGTTCCGTATCCCAAACAACAACATTACCTTCTACGTCACTTCCTCCGATGACGTCATCGTCTCCTTGCCACGATACAGATCCACGGTGTTTTGAATTTGATTTCATAATGTCAGTATGTCGAGACCCAACTCAAGCGTCTCTTTGTCCACAGATGTGTGGATTATGCTCTGCGAAAACAACGTCTTTGCCAACAACAATCCCGACCACGACGACGACAACAACAACAACAACCACATCAAATCTTTGCGAAGACACTGACCCACGCTGTGTGGAATTCGAATTTCTGTTGACCACCTGTCTTGATAGTGAGAAGTCCAAAACTTGTCCAAAAATGTGTGGCCTCTGTTCAGCGGAAACAACAACACAGACGCCTACGACAACAACAATACTGACAACTACAGAGGCGACAACAACAACTTTGGCACCTACCACTACCTCGGCATGTGTAGACACTGACCCCCGCTGTGTTGAGTTTAATTTTATTATCACTGCCTGTGTTGATCCGGTCCAGTCAAAACTATGTCCTCGCATGTGCCAACTTTGTTGATTATCAGGATAAACCATTACAAAGAATGTTTTTTAAGCACTCAGGACTTACTTGCTAACAATGTACTTTCTAAACAAAACACATTATTTTCTATTTAATTTGGTTTATTACAAGAGATTTGATTGGTTAGCAAACAGGATGCGAACATCTAGACTTGTGCCGGGGTAAAATATAGTACAAGTGGAAATTTTAGCGAGACGCAAAGTAAGCGATTTTGTCCTTCAAAATTGGTATATATTTTTAGCGAAATATAATTTTAGCAATTTTATAATGCTCATTAAAGAAGCTTTTATAAATTAAACATTTATAAATTAAAACATTGCTGTGATGTCATTCCTTTGTTCTTGCAGTCTTAAAGTTTACCTGTGTTAAATATCAGACTGTCTCAGTACTGATTTCCTTCAAAATCGGACTGTTACTGGACAAAAGAATTTAAAATGTGATTATCCAAGCAAACAGCAATGTTTGATCTTTATGTGCACATAATTATTTTAAAACAGAATATTTTTTACTGATCATATAGAATTGGAAAATTTAAAAAAAAAGAAGACTTCCAATTAAACTAATATACTAAAATTGTAAACTATAAAATAAAACATGGGCTCTTTGAACTTGTAATGAACTAGGACTTTAAGTGATGTTTTCGTTTAGTGTTTAAAATTCAGAAATTTGCTTATTCTGGCTTTTTATATATCAGAGTTGGCTGGTTAATCTGTCATTTTAATCATAAAAGAATTTTACTTGTAGTAACAAAAAAAAATTATCCATTACACATGCATTCCTTTATGAAGTTTTTCTCAATGCCTGTACTTAAAAATTAATATACCTTTAGGATATCAGCTTTATTTTCTGTATTTGTTCAGTTCAAATCAAAGTTCCAGTCTGCATTTTCCTTTTAATTCCCAAAAAAATATGATTCACTAGACTGTCTGTATCATAATCCAATGCATATTCTGACTTAAGGGTATTTTACCCCTACTCTCTAATCCCGGCAATTACATGTGTATTACTTCAAATACCCTTAATTGTTTAGCTGACTCAAAAAATACCGAGTAGTTTTCATTCAAGCATACACTCTGGAAAGAATTTCTTCATTGGGCATTAATTATACTTCTGTCTTTTGATAAAATATCGGACTGTCTCAGGTAAATCAAAAAGCAATGTTTTAAGTACGATATAAGCCGAAAACAATTCTGTATTAAAAAAATCATACAGTTTTCGGCCCTCAAGCTGTCTGATATTTTTTCATACAAAACTGTATTCGGCATATATCCATTACTAGCATTCAATTCATTGTTAGAGATATTCAATATAGCAATCTCAGCACCCTCGCTAATCATTCCAAAATTGAATTCTCACTAAAGTTCTGCTTATACGTTAATGTGACGTCACAATGCATAGTGTCTCCATCAAAAAAAGAATAACATGACGTCACGATGCTTTGTAGCGTAGTATCTTATCGATGGTTTGAAACACCATTGATTGGATTTAAGGGTTAACGAATAATTTTTTTGATTACATTGAAAATTTATTCTTTATCCAAGTAAATAAAGGGTATACGGGAATTTACCGTATACACCCTTGATTGAATGAAATATGTGGAGATAACGAACAGTATGAGCTCAAAAGTCCATTAAACATTATAAAATAGGAGCAGAGCAAACACGGACCTATAAGACATCAGAGGTGGGATCAGGTGCCATGGAGGAGTGAGCATCCCCTGCCGACCGGTCACACCCGCCTTGTGCTTCTTGTCATGATCGGGTTATAACGGAAAAATCCTTCGATAATTGGATAACTAATAATACATTGTCTCAAATAAAAATATAATCTATAATTTTCTTAGATCTATACGAAGTAATAAGGAACAGTTCTAAGTAAATAACACATATAGATACATGTAATAAGCATATTCAATTTATTCAAAACAAAAATTTATAATTTTAAGTACCCCAAGCTCAAGTAATAATTTCTATTTCACGAGGTTCTTAAATGTGAATTCTACCTCAAGATATAATTGTCAATTGGGTGATAAATTAACCCTATGATGAAATGGTTCCTTACATTTTCAAAAACAACAATTCTTTTACTATTTGTGACATTACATTTTAGGCGGGGTATATAAATCAACTGGAATAATGTTTTTGTTACATAGTGGGGAAGTACAACAAAATGAACACTCAAAATGTATCGCTGTGTAAGAGGTTGGATCATATCCAGAACACTCCTGTCTGTCCGATGTTCTCTCCCACCATTCCTTTCGGCATTCCTGTTCAGTAGCACATCTGGAAAGAAATGGAAATCAGGAAACGATTTTTTTTTTGTTTATAGAAAACGTTTCTTATAAAGGTTCATAATTTTTCATCAAAAGGATGAACCGGTCACAGTAACTTACTGGTAGTGCGTTCGCATCGTGATCGGAAGGGCTGGGTCCGATTCTCATTCGCCGCGCAGCACCAAACCTAAGGCCTAAATATAGGTGGTGACTATTACTTCTCCAAGCGTCCGTCATGAGAATTGAAAGTCATGGGTTCTTCGGACGAGACCTTCCGTGTCACGGTAGGCGTTAGCACGATAAAGAACCATCACTGCTCAATGGCTCAAAGGCCCTGAGTGCCGCGAATAGGTCTTAATTTGAAGCCTTTCACCGGTATATGGTGACTCTCTATATGAGTAAAACAATTCTCGATTGGGACGTAAAATAATATACAAACAATCAATCAATCAAAAAGAAATCGTGCAAAACACTCCAAGTACAAACCTTCTGTTCAATGTTCTGGAACCATCTTTATAGTTAACCAATTCATTTAAACAAAACTGTTGGTCAACAGTGTCACATTGTAATGGTGTGGAAAACTGTTCACATATAAATATCGGCATTCCATTGCAAAGGTAACAAGAAGCTATAAAAATCGAAATACCAGTCAATATTGGATCAAACATTATCGTCCATATTATTGCAAAGAAGGTACATGCATATAATGCAATATTTCTAAATTAATTCTTTAACATACAAATTAAATCTTCCATTGTATTTAGGATGGTTTTTATTTGCAGTAGACGTTCAATTGTAAAGTAAAACTTAAACAGGGTGGCCAAAAGTAGTGTTGCTGAGTATAATACTTATTTACTTGGAGTGGATGAAGTGGTTGTTGTGATGGGTATTGTTGTAGACAAGGTTGGACTAGTGGGCATTGTCGTGGGCGAGGTGGGCGTTGTCGTGGTTGAGGTTGGCATTGTCGTGGTCGAGGTAGGGGTTGTGGTCGAGGTTGACGTTGTCGTACCTGAGGTGGGCGTAGTTTTGAGTGAAGTAGTAGGGGTTGCGGTCGATGTTGGTGTGGTCGTTGTCGAAGCGACCATAATCGTCGTAGATATAGGCGGGACCTTTGTAATAGACCTTGTCGTAGATACAGTAATCACTAAATAAGCAAGAGATCTGTCATTTGATTGTGGTGAATATTCTCGAGCTCTAAGAAAAACCCAGCTCCATTCGAACTTGAATGGACTTAGTAGGGACTCTATGTTCCTTTTCAGTTTGCATAACCTTTACACACTATAGATGTTCAGGAGTAATCAAATTACATAAAATGCATTATAAACGTATTACAAAAAAACCCATAATCTACTTAGGTTTTCGATGAAAATTATAAAGGATCAATAAAGCTTCACCATAGCTGCAGAGGTGTACCTCACTGGTTAAAAAATGAAACATGGATATGACCACCAGAGAGCTAGGATTCTGTGTATTTGAAAGGGTTTATATTTATTAAAGTTGATAGTTATGTCAATATATTTAAACTGCCATCTATATATTAGTGAACGTCAAATAAATAATTCACCTTGCATGCTGCACTGATTCATATTGCATGGGCGATACATGTCCCCTTCGTTAGCACAACAACGAAAACAGGTGTTTAATTTTCGTTTGCCTATGATGTTACCAGTCATCACTGGTGCATGTGTACTATGCTTTACTATCCCATCATGACCACTAAGAGTGTCACAGGTCTAATAAATAAAACGATAAAAGATAGGAAAAAGTTATGATAAATCAATTTCATAATTTTTAACGTTTGGTGAATTATTACGCTTGCAGACTGTTTTGTAAATATTAATTGAATGAAATGTATGAAGATAAGGAACAGTAATCAAGCTCAAAAGTTCACTGAAACAATGCAAAGAATTTGGAGCAGAAGTGGGATCAGGTGCCATAGAGGAGAAAACATAACGTCAGCTATCATTACCTGCTTAGACACGCAGCCTGAGCTGTAAACCAGAAAACCATTGTTGTTAAAGCTTTCTGATGTGAAGCATACCTAGAAAAAGGATGTTAGTGCAGTGAAATATATAGAAAACCAAATTGTTTTATTCAAAATGAATATTAATATTTGCACTGAATTGAACTTGATATTGATAGCAACTATACAGATTATAAAGGTTGGGGAATTTTTTATACTGCATTATTCACCTTAAGTATCCAAGCAAAATATTACCAAAAAAAAAAAAAACTCCCAAGAAATAAACATTTTATCTAGTTTTATTCATTCATTTCATGTACAAATAAGGCTGAGGAGCAATTGTATTAAGGTCATTCTGTTTCATCGAGACTGAACAATATCTTTGTTGTTTAATTCTTAGATAATCTTAACTAATTTCGAAGTTTAAATCAACGGAGATGTGCCGCATATTATTACTTGAAATTTAAAAATGATCGATTAAGATGATGATTGTATGACCTTGACAAATTATTCTCTCAAACTAATCCGCTTGTAAATCATATATTGAGATAATCACTTTAATTTTACTAAGACTGTCTAGGATATTGCTTCCTTCTTAAGCTGTGGTACAATGATTTAGTCCTTACACGAGGGATTCAAATCAGATGCAGGACATGGACTCCAGATGAGACCGTATTAACAGAGGTTCCGTGTCGTTACAGATAAACTGGAACGTAGAAGTATCCGCACTGGTTATTGACCAAATACAACCCTCTACCGGTATTTGCTGACGCCCCAACATGGGTGAAGACATTTTCAAAGGGACGTAAAGCAAACAAACAACCATTCAAAAAAAGAACTTAGATAGAATATATATTTAAATGCAACTCCAAGAATCTGACCCTATCTGATTTGAATTCTCTCCTTTCAGTTAAAAAAATAGCAGATAAAAATGTAATACTTTTTCTTTCAAATCATTTATTTGGACGTGTGCCATTAAATTCACAGAATGATATATTTTAGTAATTTTTAAAAATCAGATTAAAGGAAAAATGTTTTCACAAGGATGAGAAGGATTCGTTAAGATTTTTAAAACAATCCGAATAAAGAACACAGATGATCAATTTGTGGTTTCTTATGTACGCAACGGATCTTAAAATAAGACACAAATTTCAATTGATTTCAGGATGGAAATATGTCTTTGGAAATACAGAATAATTGAAAACTGCGTACATTTCTCGTCATTATGATAGGCAACTTAATAAGTTTGAAAGTTCAATTTTCCTTTGTTAAATCCATCGACAATTTATACAATTCACTTAAGAAGCATTAGATGGAAAAATATGTCAGATTGCAAAAGACTGTTTTCTTTTAAAGCGATTCTTTCTAATTTTATGATTATTATATTTTGAATGATATGATTACCTCTCCTAGTGGGCAGATTCGTACATTTTGTTGACATGATGCAAAATCCTGAACATGACTGCACACATAACATATTTGAAGGCAATTTGAGACTGAAAGTATTCCAAACCAGAGAGTTAAAACATCAAATGCATCCATCACTCTTCGTTATCACCATATTTTTCATTTCAGCCAGTTTCTGTGCATTTGAATCAAACAAAACTAAAAATGTATAAATTATTGCAGTTTATATTTATTGTTCATTATATGTACTTGTACTTATACTAAATACTTACCTTGATAATGATAAAATATCAAAAGAAAGCACGTACAAATAACCTTCATTCCTACAAAAACATAATCTGTTTAGGTTTTCGATGAAAAAAAAAAACTTAACAGAAACAGAAAACAGTCTACAGGATACAAACAGAAACAGGTACACTTTGATTATACATTTCAAGTACGTTAAATTTAAATCTCGTCAATATAACCCTTTCTATCTATAGTAAAGTTGTGTTTAGGTCGTAAAAGTACGAAAAGATATCAGTTGCACGTGATTTTGTTTTTAATCTGTTAAATAATTGGAAAAACCTTTTTAAGCAATTTATTCCTACATCTGGATTTGTGTTGTTTCACAGGATTAAACGTAATTATGCCACAACCCTAAAAAGCTGTATAAAAAGTCCTTAACACAATAGTTTGACTAGAATAAAACTAAAGTGTCAAAGATGGGGTATCTTCTTCCAACCTTTCCATTTTTTTCTTTAGCATTGTACACATTATAAGATAGGCATATCTTCAAAATGCTTCCAATGAAATATGGAGATAACGAACAATATTCAAGCTCAAAGTCCATTAAAACAATACAAATCGGGAGGAGAGCAAACATGGACCTCCAAAAACATCAGAGGTGGGATCAGTTGCCATGGAGGAATGAACATCCCCTGCTGACCGGTCACACCCGCCGTGTGCTTCTTATCATGATCGAAAAATAAGGGAAAAATCCATCGACAATTCAGTGCGTAAATAATGGCCTACAGTGGCTGCAACGTTATTGTTGACAACTTACACGAACGATCACGTTACACGAACGATTCCGCACAATTAACGCACGATAAAATCTGTTACACGAACGATCCTTCACGCACACGATTCTACACGTTACACGATCTTACACGATTGCTTACGCAAACGCACGATTCTTCACGCAAAATAGTTCAAATTCTATAGGAATGGATATTTTCAAAACGAAATAAGGCTGAATACTTATTTTAGTTTGCAAATAATTATTGATATTATTTCATCGACTTTGAAAAATGAAAAAAAAAAAATAGAAATGGATATTTCTGGAACCAAATTCATGTAAGACTTATTGATTATTCTAGATTACAAATAACAAATAATTATTTAAGTAATTCTCCGACTTAAGAAAACTGATTTTTTTTTCTATCAGAAGATGTACATGTAGGTGGATCGTGAGTTTTGATTGAATTGGATTTCATAATATGCAGAAAGAGATAAGTTTGAAAAAATGGCATGAAAATGAATTAAATTATGTTATATCCATGTTTCCATTTGCGAATCTCTTAAATCAACAATTATTTTACAAAACATTTATTTGCAGAAATTATAAAAATAATTAAAATTAAGCTCCAGAGATAAACACTGAGAAACGAAATCCCGACAATCATGTCGTATACATGTACATGTACCTTCGCCGACTAAATATTTATGTCAGCATTGAGAATTGTTTATTTATTTATTTGTAAAATCATCTATTTTTGATCTATTGATTTTAAAAATTTCTTGACCATAATTAGCAGTAAACATAATTAACATCAGAGAAAAATATCCTTAATCATCTAAGTACGGTTTATCACAAAAAAAATTACGCTATTTGACGAGAACACAATATTGTACGACTTACTATGTTGCTTATTTCCAAGCGATAATTAGTTCGTACTGCTTTTAATTATGTAAATCACTCTTCATTTATTTTATTTGGATTGAAAAAAAAAAACAGACAAGAGAAATGCTTGTATAACAAATAACATTCCGATAAAAACTTACAAAAACGAAATTTACACGTTTCTTAACGCACGATCACGCACGATTAAAACCGCAAACGATTGAGTCTGATACACGCACGATCTCGCACGTTACACGAACGATCACGCACGTTACACGAACGATTCTACACGATTGGTTTGTCAACAATAACGGGCATTATCCTGTTATTAACATCGCGATGCTAATAATTTTTGACGTTATTGGCGTTAAAAAAATTTATAATATGATATAATATTAATGTTTTTTCTTTACATTTCAATTGCATTTATTCCGTTATAGACCTATGTGATTTTTTAGAAATTACCTTATTTTGAATGGCAACTGACTTGTGACTAAGTGGTTGGTATATATATATCATAAAACTTTTCAATAATTGTAGCATGATTCAAAGAAGTTTTAGATGATGTATGACTCGATTGTAAGGCACGGTATAAACATTTTTAAATATAACAAAGTTTAATATTGTTCGCTTCCGTTTCCATACACTAGTACCTTACGTATATATATTTTTCTCTCTGAAGTAAATTTATATCGGAATAAATGTATTGATTGAAAATGGGAAGAATTACTTTATTCCTTTATAAATAAATTGGGGGGATATGAAAAGTAGAGATGGTATCTTGATTGTGCTAATAATTATTGTAATGTACCATTTATTCCGTAATTATTGTATAAATTATTTTTTCTGACAAAAAATTTATACTCGGAATAAAACTATTGATGAAAAATGGTATGAATTCAAAAGATGTACTTTATTCCGTTATAAATAAATTTAAAAATGAAAGGAGGGTGTGTGATTGTCCTAATAATTGCTGGAAGGTAACAATGCATAAATTTTATTCTCTCCGAGGTAAATTTATAACGGAATAAATGTATTGATGAAAAATTGTATGAATTCATAAGATGCACTTTATTCCGTTAAAGAATTTGAAAAAAGGAGGGAGGAGGTAGGGGATTGTGCTAGTAATTGCTGGAATGTTCCATATTTTCAATAATTAGTGTCTAATTCTTTTCTATATCCGAGGTATATTTATAACGGAATAAATGTATTGATGAAAAATTGTATGAATTCATAAGATGCACTTTATTCCGTTAAAGAATTTGAAAAAAGGAGGGAGGAGGTAGGGGATTGTGCTGATAATTGCTGGAATGTTCCATTTATTCAATAATTAATGTATAATTTCTTTTCTATTTCCGAGGTAAATTTTTAACGGAATAAATGTTTTTATGTAAAGTGGTGTGAATTTAAAAGATGTACTTTATTCTGTTACAAAATATGAGAGAGAAAAATTGAAAAAGGGGACTGATTGTCCTATAATAATGGTAGAATGTAACATTTATTCCTTTGTTAATTTATCTATTATTTCTTTCTCTGCGAGGTATAACTTTATTTGTATTGAAGGAATACACCTTTTAACCCGTTATAGGCAAAAAAGAATTTTCTACAGAATTAATTTAACGGAATAATTGCAATGCATTAAGATTAACAGTAAATGCACATTTACATAATTTTCTTAATATGGAAAGGGGGATCTTTTGCCACATATTGCTGTTGTTTAGAAACGGAATAAGTGTACTTATTCTAATTAAGCTTTTTAAGGCAATAGAAGTAACGTAAAAGTCATGTTTTCTTTCCTTATATTAAAAGGGAAGTGTATTTAAAGTTCATAAAATTACAATTTATTACATAATACAGGTAATATGTACTTTTACAGTTTTTGAGTAGTATTCTCGTTTAATCCGTTCAAGATCAATGGTCGTTATTTCCATTATTTGATTTCTGCACGGATTTGAATGTATTCCAGAACAGGTGAGGAATAAAAGGCCTTTGTTAGTGACCTGACACTGTAAAGAAGTCCCGAACACTACCTTTTATAGAAGACATGGAATTGAATGAGTCGCTAATCATGATGCTCTACTACATGTTTTTAAAAATACTTAATTCACTACAAGAGAAACATAATTTTTTTTCTTCATCATATCTTTATTTTGTAAAATTCTCTCTGTGTATAATACTCCTAGTATTAGAATCGCGATTCTAATAAGTTTTGAGGTATTTATGTGAATGTCGTCTCTCTATATATACTCCTGTTATTGGCATCGCGATGCTAATAAGTTTTGAGGTATATAAATGTGTCTCGTCTCTCTATATATACTCCTGTTATTGGCATCGCGATGCTAATAAGTTACAGGTATATAAATGTGTCTCGTCTCTATATATATACTCCTGTTATTAGCATCGCGATGCTAATAAGTTTTGGACATTTTAACTCAGTAAGATGTGCCATTTTTAGAGTGATACCCCCAAAAACTCCAAGCCCCATTTTTTCTGATGAAATCCCCCAAAGAAACCCTTTTCCCGGGAATACTTCCCTTTGAGGAGCTTATAATCTTGATATTTGGAAACGTCGTCCCTCTATATATACTCCTGTTATTGGCATCGCGATGCTAATAAGTTTTGAGGTATATAAATGTGTCTCGTCTCTCTATATATACTCCTGTTATTAGCATCGCGATGCTAATAAGTTTTGAGGTATTTATGTGAATGTCGTCTCTCTATATATACTCCTGTTATTGGCATCGCGATGCTAATAAGTTTTGAGGTATTTATGTGAATGTCGTCTCTCTATATATACTCCTGTTATTGGCATCGCGATGCTAATAAGTTTTGAGGTATATAAATGTGTCTCGTCTCTCTATATATACTCCTGTTATTGGCATCGCGATGCTAATAAGTTTACACTTATATAAATGTGTCTCGTCTCTCTATATATACTCCTGTTATTAGCATCGCGATGCTAATAAGTTTTGAGGTATATAAATGTGTCTCGTCTCTATATATATACTCCTGTTATTGGCATCGCGATGCTAATAAGTTTACAGGTATATAAATGTGTCTCGTCTCTCTATATATACTCCTGTTATTAGCATCGCGATGCTAATAAGTTTTGGGCATTTTAATTTAGTAAGATGTGCCATTTTTAGAGCGATACCCCCCAAAAACTCCAATCCCCATTTTTTCTGATGAAATCCCCCAAAGAAACCCTTTTCCCCGAAATACTTCCCTGTGTGGAGCTTATAATCTTGATATTTGGAAACGTCGTCCCTCGATATATACTCCTGTTATTAGCATCGCGATGCTAATAAGTTTTGAGGTATTTATGTGAATGTCGTCTCTCTATATATACTCCTGTTATTGGCATCGCGATGCTAATAAGTTTACAGGTATATAAATGTGTCTCGTCTCTCTATATATACTCCTGTTATTAGCATCGCGATGCTTATAAGTTTTGAGGTATTTATGTGAATGTCGTCTCTCTATATATACTCCTGTTATTGGCATCGCGATGCTAATAAGTTTACAGGTATATAAATGTGTCTCGTCTCTCTATATATACTCCTGTTATTAGCATCGCGATGCTAATAAGTTTTGAGGTATATAAATTTGTCTCGTCTCTCTATATATACTCCTGTTATTAACATCGCGATGCTAATAAGTTTAATTTACAGGTATGTAAGAATGTCTCGTCTCTATATATATACTCCTGTTATTAGCATCGCGATTACAAGTTTATTATTCATTTTTATCTAAATTTTATTTTCAACCATTTAAAATCATGAAATGTTTATATTTAACAACTTTTAACGCTTCTGACGTTACGTTAGAAAACGTCAATAATTATTAGCATCGCGATGCTAATAACAGGATTATGCCCAATAACGTTGCAGCCACTGTAACAATAAATATGAAAAACGTCGGTCAGCATATGACTTAATGTCGTATATGTCATAATAATCTTCAGAAAATGAAGAAATCGGATTAAACGAGCATTCTGAGATATAACATATTAAGCAAAATTTTTCCGATACCGACAGCATAATCTGGTTCCCCTAAAAAATTGAAAAGGCCTTAGCTCCTTCACAAATCATTGAAGCCGAACAAAATGCAAATTTGATCTTTAAGTAATCAAGGTAGCCTTAATACCAGAAACTAGCTCAATTTATGAAAAAATGTGGAACCAAATTGGAAATTTGGTCCAGCTTAGAAATTAAAAGGACAATAATTCTGTCAAAAATCGCCGAAGCTGTACGAAATGTAAATTGGTCTATAATTCTTCAAGGTACACTCACGTACCAAAAACTAGCTCAATATAAGCATGCATTTCGAAAAAAAAAAGTGCGGAAAACCAACTGGCATAAAGACAGAGGGACAAACAGAGGAAAAGACGAAAGGAGAGACAGACCTACAGATAGATGGGTAAAGTGCTGGACTTCAGGAAAGAAACGAATTTAAGAACTTTAAATATGCATTTCTGTGCTTTAGTAGTGATCTGTTTTGTATATATATTTTTTTGAAATATCAGGAAAAAATAGTCATTTTCATAGGGTTTAATCGATGTATGAAACACTTGTCGATAGAGAGAACAATTAAAAGAATGCACATGTCATTAAACGTTACATAAAAATCAAGTACGATGATTTGCAATTAAATTCCCTCAAATAATCTACCTTTTCGTGGAGTGACAGATTTATAAAATTCCATCTTTTTCCATGCAAATTATAGCACAAACAACTGAAAAGATAACCTTCTGAACCATGGCCCATATAGTTGAGGTTTATCAGGATATGCCTGTTAAATGGATTGCAATATATGATGTACCTCAAAATATTATCTTATTTGTACCGAATTCAGTACAATTGATAAGAATGCATTGTATTTATTTCTTAAGTCGCTATAGAATGTGAAACCACAAGAGTATATTCTACACTGAGATTCTAGCAGACGCCTGAAATCCACAATTACGAAATTGGGGAAAAAAGATTTATAGACATTATATATTTATGTAAAACTGAGACAGGTATATCAGCAGATTTACATGATTTTTGTTTTATTTATACCGAGAAAAACATTAGGTGTGAAATTTCTATCAACTTTTTTTGTTGGAAAACTTACCAATTGAAATTAAGTTTTCTAGAGACGATTTTTAATTCTTTTACACCTGTTGCTTTATCTTAACACCTGTTACACTGTGTGATGACATCAATAAGAATTTAGCTGTCGAGACATAACATCCATGTAGTTATTAGCTTTTGTTGCAGAGACCACGATAAGCCAGTCTAACCAAAGAAGAAAGTACTATAGTAAATCAGTTTCAAAATACATGTATATCTATAAATATGATTTACTGATCTGCAACTGTCATGGTTATAACTATATTGTCACAATCCTAAATCAAATTAATAGTCATAGTAATAACTTGTAAAACAAAGACTCAAAATGATCACTATAATAAATCCAAGTATTTTTTTTTTTTGTTTGTTTGTTTGTTTATTGTTTAACGTCTCTATCGAGAATTTTTCACCCATATGGAGACGCAACCACTTGCCGGTGGAGAGCTGCAAATTTTGACCTATACTTGGCACTCTGGGCCATTGAGCAGTGAGGGATCTTTTTCGTGCCAGCACCTACTGCGACACGGGACCTCGGTTTATACGGTCTCATCCGGAGGACCGGTCTCCACGTCCCACAGTGGGATTCAAACCCGCGATGTAAGGATCAACTCCTTACTCCGCGACTCTAGAGCGAACTCTCTAACAACTGCGCGACGCGGGCGACAATCCAAGTGTCATATGAATAAAACTATGTTACTTATTTCAATTGAAATTCCTTTAAATTATCAATATTGGTTTCTTGCATTGAAGGACAACTGAAATTATTTTTATTGATAAATCACATTAATTTATAAGTCAGAATAAACAAAGTCACTAAGTACTTCAAACTACGTGTTAAAAGTTATCAATTTATGCAAAATGGTATAAATTGAGTAATAATTATCGTAAATCAAGCGTTCAGAGTTATCATAATAGTGTCATAGTGATACAATAATAAATGAAACTATTCAAAGTTATCAGTATAGCAAATCAAAGTTTCAAAGTTATTAGTATACCCTTATCCTTGTAAGTAATAATATAGAAAACTATACTTCACTAAGCTAAATATCGTTAATTATAGTAACGCAATGTCTCAACGTTATAAACATAGTAAATCAAAGTTTTCAAAGTTATCATTATAGTGTCAAAGTGATCATTAGTGTCAACGATAATACTAAAGTGTCAAAATGATCACTATTGCGTCAAGGTTATCACTATATTATTTCTAAGTGTCAAAGTTATCACTATGGTAAATCAAAAATTTAAAAGTCATTTCTAAAGTAATTGTAAGTTAAAAATTTATTACTTCTTAATTTCAAAATCCACCAACTTTATATCTCAAATATAGCTAAAAAATCAAATATATCTCTCAATCAGCTACGTTTTTACATTCAAAAGAATTATAAGTGAAGTTAAAGAGGTATGGTGTATACTCTAGCCTTATTCTTTTTTGATCAATTTTCTTCTGTTTTTATCTTTAATCCAACAAGTGAATTTTTGTTTAGATAATTATACACTAGTGATGTTTGGTATTAAAACATTATAATTTTTACTCTGGGTCTATGTAATTTTGCAGGCTTAGGAGTAATATCAAAGACGCCAACTTGCGTAATACCAATGAAGGTCTATAAACGTTTTCCCACTAAACTTAGTCAAAACCTTGTCAAAGTGTTAATTCAAGGAGAATATTTAATAATTAGTTGTTTCAAAGGTACATTACATATACCGACACGATAAATCCACGTAAAACAGTTTTCCCTTGAATCCTACTGTTTTGGAGTTTTATAAGATCTAATTTTGTTATTTTTTATATCTAATTTTATTGATATAAACAATAACAAATTAATGATGTGTTTCTCCCTTTTTAATGGTAACATTTATAATGTACGTATTTTTTATTACTTTTATTCCTCAACGGTTGCTAATTTTGCGTGTCATTTGAGATTTAAATCAACGGTTGTTAATTTTGCATGTCATTTGAGATTTAATTATCTGCAAAGACAGAAAAAAAAAACAATGTGTGTGGTTTGTAACTTTTGATTAAAAAAGTCAAAGATGCTTATCATCCAAATGGAAGATACACATTCAGAGTAAAAGTAATATTTTTATTTATTTTTATTTATTGATTGTAAATTAAAAGCACTTTGCAATTGCAAGGAACACGTTTCATGACAGATACAGAATTATATTCTAGGAGGTACATATAAGTCATCTGGAACAATCTTTTTGTTACATTGTGGGGTGATACAACAGAAAGAGCACTCGAAATAAGTCATTGTAAAAGAGTTGGGATCATATCCAGTACATTGTTGTCTGTCGGACGTCCTTTCCCACCATTCCTGTCGGCATTCCTGTTCTGTGGCATATCTGAACAAAATAAAAATATCGTTAACTCTTCTCCATAGAACACAACTTTAGATATCTGCAGGTGACGATTTTATTGGTTCCTTGTTTTTTAACTTATGTAATGATTAAACAGTAAAAAAGATATTTTTGCTAGTGATTTTCAATATCCATGCTTTCGAGTATTTCTCCTTAAAAGTATATGGGAAAGAAATAAAAACGTTAACTTGTAAAAAGCATAAACATTTATGTAAGATGTAATGTTAAAATGTGTTTGCTATACTCGGCTATAAAATACACCTTTTTTATTGAACGAGCACTTTAACTTCAAATCAATTCACATAATTATCACAGACTAAGCAAGACGAAAAGCATCTCTTTCATCTATCATCTAGAATGATGAACAAAAATTCTATAACTCACAATGATGAATGATATAACCTCATTCATTATAACGATGACTGTCCTCACCTTGAGAACTTTTGCATCGCATAAAATTTCAAATTTTCAGAGTGGATTAGACCAAAGGAGGTGGACAACTCTCTCAAAATCAATTGCTATACTGAGCTTGAAACAAAAACCTACGACCTTACCTTACAAGCAGATGTCTTTAAGAAGTGTTTTCTTTGTTCATTTCCCTTAAGATACTGTAACTGTTCTAGAAAGCTAGTCGATATGAGCTTAGAGTAAACAAATTCAATTACAAACCTTCTGTCCAATGTTCTGGAACCATCTCTATTGTTAACCAATTTATTAATACAAAACTGTTGGTCAGCAGTGTCGCATTTCAATGGTGTTGCTAGCCGTTCACATAAAAATGATGGCATTCCATTGCATAGGTAACAAGAAGCTATCATAAAAGCACCTTATAGTACCAATTACTATAAGAAGAAAATGTAAACCAAAAGTAACTGTGAACAAAAACGAATTACTTTATCAGTAGACTTCAAATTATAAATTGGATCCAGACAGATATATGAACGCAAATAACGACTAAATACAAACAAATTATTACTAGGAGTACTCATGGTCGAGGTAGGCGTTGTCGTAGGCGAGGTAGGCATTGTCGTAGGCAAGGTAGGCGTTGTCGTAGACGAAGTAAGCGTTGTCGTAGACGAGGTAGTTGTTGTTGGAGACGAGGTAGGCGTTGTCGTAGACGAGGTAGGCGTTGTTGTAGGTGAGTTAGGCGTTGTCGTAGAAGAGGTAGGCGTTGTCGTAGGTGAGGTATGCATTGTCGTAGACGAGGTAGACGTTGTTGTAGACGAGGTAGGCATCCGGGTGGGTGAGGTTTGCGTTGGCGTGGATGAAGTAGGATTGGTCCTAGGAAAGGTTGTAGTGATTGTGGATGAGATAGTTGAGGTTTTTGCAGCAGACATTATTGAAGACTTCGTAGTCACTAAATAGACAAGAGACCTTTAGGACAGTCACCTGAGTATGAAGCGTATTTTTGTACATGTAATATAGGAAACTCAACTCCACCTTTGTTTGTACCCGTTAACAATTATTTTACTCGGTGTTCAATATCAATGTGCTTGAAAATTGTTTATTTAAACAAGGGGTTAAAAACAAAATTTTAGGATAAATACATTTTAAGAGCCATTCTCTGTAATGACTTGAAATTTTATATAGGAACTGTGGCACGCATAGTCATATAATTTCTCCAGACTCTCTATGATGAAAGTCTTTGGTATCGTTATCTCACATCAGGCAAAAATTGGTAACTATGTGTCATGGTTACCATGGCAACATGCCATAATGTTTGAAAAATGGCATTTTTCAACATGTTCAGAGTCCCATAGTTAATGTTTGCAGCAGTGCAATCAAGTGGCAATGACTGTTTCCAAAAGCTGAAGGCATGATGTTTTAAATGCTTGATAAACATTTTGGGTAAATCAACTACCGGTATTATACACGTTACCATGGACCAAAAGTATTCAAAAGTAATAATTTCAATTATTCCCATTTACAAAGCCATACATCAAAAAAAAAAAAAAAAAAAAAAAAACCATTATAAGTTAAAATGCAACCATTTAATAGATAAAGATCCTTGTAATACATACCAAGGACGATATTTGATATTATTTTTATTGGTTGGCAATGGTTGCCATGGTTTTAATACTGCAATGGGATATAAAATTTACTCTCTGTATCTTTTAATCTGATCTTATCTTTTAAAAAAGCACATTTTTATATAACTGGTGATCAATTTTTAAAAGTAATGGTGTATTCCTAATTCTTACATTTCAAAACTTTCAAATAAAATCCTTTAAATATAACGTTGCTATGGAAATAAGCAGAAAAAATATGTATAAAAAAAGCTAAAAAAATATTTCGTCTCCTTGGATACGCACCCTTGTATGTAGATTCCCAAAACTTTTATGATTGATATTTATGAACAACTAACTTGAATTTCAAATTTGACTACCACATAATCTCTAACTGGATGCAAGAAGCTACCTCATGGGGTTTAATATTGCTATAAAGTGAACAAAATCGAACATTTTCCCCTCTTAATAAACATAGCAACTGTGTTATTTTCTTCATCAAACTTAACCAAAAATATGATATTCAACTTTAGTTCTATCAGATAAATACCATTCACGGTCGGTGATTCAAATACGTTTCTTTATTAAAGAGAAGCTAAATTCCTAAAGCAACAACAACAAAAAATCACTTTGAACCACTGGTTCGTTGTTTCCATGGTTACACTGCAAAGTAACGATTAATCTAAATTTTCTTATGTTATCTGTATTACAAGGTCCTAGCGAACTATATTTGCCGGTCTTGAATTTCAATGTTTTCCTAAGGATAGTAGCCATAACCAAAACTAAATTTAATGGTTGCCATGGTAACAAAGTGTAACCAAATTTTGTATGTTTTAAATTTATTTTTAGAAAAATATTGCCAATACCTTATTGCTAAAGGTCAAATATTATTATTGTTTTTCTTGAGTTGTTGATCAAGTTTGATCATGTTATCCCATCATTAGTGAATATTGACCATTTTGCAGCATTTTTCTGCTTTAAAATGTATTCCAAATGTACCCATGGTTACCACTTACTTAGAGATTTATTCTAAATAGTTTTTTATAATATATGTGGCAACAAGATGTCATGTTTTTTGCGAGAATGGTTCATTTGTACTTCTTAGTCTTTATTAAGGCTCAATAAAAGTTCAAAATAGTTAAAAATCTCGATTTTTGAAACTTTTCCTGCTGTTACCATGGCAACCAAGACATATAGCAACCAAATTTTATTTGATATTTGTTTCTGGTTTCTTCATCTGACCATTGTGACAAACGATCAACAATATGGTTAGGGTTCAGCGTCATCAGGCAAACAATTCAATTTGCTAGCTGTCATGGAATAAAGATTTTATAGATGAACTATAAAGCAACATCTCATTGCCGAAATGATTTTTACAATTGTTGCAGTGAGTTGCTGCTTATTATAATCTTCTATACAGTGTACGTGTAAAATGTCAATGGGTAAAGAAAATATTTTAAAAAGTTTTTTTTTTTTTTTTTTATTTAGGCCTATATCTCAATTTGCCACTATGAATTTGAAATTGATAATTTTAATTGCAATGAAGCATTTTAAAAGGCCATGTATTCTCTACATTTGGTTAAAAAAAAAAACTTGTCGAAACAAAGCCATTTACCTTGAGTGCTGCACCGATCCACATTACAAGGACGATGCATGTCCCCTTTGTTATCACAACAACGGAAGCATGTGCTTATCGTTCGTTTTCTTTTGTCTATGATGTTACCAATGATCACTGGCGCATGCGTACCATGTTTATTATCCCCATCAAAATTACTCAGTGTGTTATACATACCTAATAAAATAAGTAGAGGCATTTACAAGTAAAAAGTGATATTTTTTATGCTTGAATATTTTTTGTGGAAATTTTATTGAAAATGTTTAATTACCTGCTTAGATACACAGCCTGAACTGTATTGTAAAACTCCATCCTTGTGAAAGCTTTCAGATGTAAAGCATATCTACAAGGAATCGTTCCTCATGATCAGTTACAAATGTAAAAAAAATAATTAAAGACAATTCTCATGTAAAACTTTGACCCTCTGTCGTACCTCCCTAACTCCCGGGGGGGGGGGGGGAGCAAGGAATCCCGTTGTAAATAGAAATTTTTAATGAATTGATTTTTCGTTTATATCAACAACTGTTTAAATTATGAAGATGCGGATTTTCTTTTTTTGGAATGCATTTCATGAGGTGTTTTCTCATTTTTTCTAAAACAAAAAAAATGTTTTATCTGATTTTGCTGAATCATTTCATTTCAAATTTGAAAAACAGATACGCATTATTAAAACAAAATTGTATTCAAATGTGTGCAAAGACATTGCATTCATGCAGACGTAACATAATGTTCATAATTTAGATTTCCTAAAAATTGCTAATTGGAGAAAATAAACTTAAGGAAGGTTCAACGTTAAATGAAATACAAGGGAATTGATTATGAGATAGGGTTGATGAACTTAAAAAAATGTTCCATTTAGCACATTTTAAAACACAAAGGGAAAAAAAGGAATAAGGGTCTCGCTTCGTTCTAGAGTCGTCTCGGAGCAGAATAATGCCTTTGCGAGACGTGGAGATCTGATGAGATTGTATGAAGCAATGACCTCTGTCATAGACGAAAAAATCCCTCTTTGCTCAAAGGCCATGATTGCTGAATAAATGCCTAAATTTGCAGTCCTTCATCGAAAACTAATTTTTTGTTTGTTGATATTTTGAAATTGATCACCGTTTCTTATTTACACCTTTTCCATTAATAGAAGTAGTTGTCTTAATATGTAATGGATGTATGCCGAATGCAGTTCTGTATGAAAAAATATCAGACAGTTTGAGACCCGTTAGGGCCGAAAACTGTCTATTTTTCATACAGAATTGCATGAGGCATATATCGTTCTTAAAACATTGCCACTTTTTGATTTACCTGAGACAGTCCGATATTTTAATAAAAGACAAAATGTTATTGACCATTGAAGCAATTCTTTCCAGAATGCATGCTTGAATGAAAACCACTCAGTATTTTTGAATTAGCTACACAATTAAGAGTATTTGAAGTAATATACATGTTATTGTTTGGAATGGAGAGTAGGACTGAAATATCCTTAAGAATATGCATTGGATTATGATACAGACAATCTAGTGAATTATATTTTGGGAAATGGAAAGAAAATGCAGAGTGAAACTTTGATCTGAACTGGAGAAACACAGAAAATAAAGCTGATGCTGAAGGTATATTAATTTATGATTATAGATATTGAGATTAATTTCATAAAGGAATGCATGTGTAATGGATGATTTGTTTCTATCTAGAAGTAGAACTCTACTATGATTGAAAAGACAGATTTACCAGCCAACTCTGATTTATAAAAAAAAAAAATCAGAAAAGAGAATTTCTGAAATTTTAACATTAAATGAAAACATCAAAATAAAAAGTCTAACAAGTTTATTACAAGATCAGGGAGCTCATGTTTATTTTATCCCTTCATATTTCAGTATATTCTCTCAAATGTAAGTTTTTTTAATTTTCCAATAATGTATGATCAGTAAGTAGTATTCTCTTCAGAATTAATCATGTACACAATAAGATCAAATATTGCTATTTGCTAAATAATCACTTTTTAAATTCCTTTATTCAGCAACAGTCCAATTTTGAAGGACATCAGTACTGAGCCAGTCTGATATTACGATTAACATCAGACTGCCCACTAATATCAGACTGCCACAGGTAAACTTTTAGACTGCAAGAGCAAAGGAATTTCATTACAGCAATGTTTTAATAATTTCTAATCCGGAAGTAAAAGTGAAAAGAGTACCCTAGAATGAAGAAGAATCGTATAGATTTTTGAAGGAAATTCGAATCAAAATACAGATATTCGATTTGTGTTTTCTTTTGTTTGCAACGGATCTTAAATCATGGGATGTTTTCATCAGAATACACGACCGAAATATGCCTAGGAAAAATATCTTCATTTGAGAGCGTCTGATGAATATGGAAATGGAATTTTTCACCATGCAGAATGCACGATTGAAATATGCCTTGGAAATAAAGAACATTTTACTCTCTGTGTCTCTCAAGTTTTGACAATATATCCTTGAACCAAAAAAAAATTTCGGAATCTGATATTGCTAATGAAATATATGGAGATAACGAACAGTATTTAAGCTCAAAAGTCCATTAATCAATACAGAATAGGAGCAGAGCAAACACGGACCTCCAAACATCAGAGGTGGGATCAGGTGCCATGGAGGAGTGAGCATCCCCTGCCGACCGGTCACACCCGCCGTGTGCTCCTTGTCATGATCGGGAAATAACGGAAAAAACCGCCGACAATTCAGTGTGTAAA